GGGAAATCACTACCAACTTGAGGTTAAAAAGAAGTCCGTCCAGCTGCCGCATGTGCAAATGGTCCGGCCGAGCCAAAGAGGAGAGGGGAGAGGAGGTGCTCACCTGAAGGCCCAGGTCCCCTCCATGGTAGCCCATCCTGTATGCCGAGCGAACAGCATCAGGCAGCCCTCTGGAGATGACGACGACTTTGAGGTTGAATAGCAGCCCGTCCAGCTGCAGCATGTGCACCAGGTCCGGCCGAGCCAGGGGCGTCCGAACCCGGCCCAGAGGGTAGGAGTCCCGAGCTCGGAGGTACGCGGCTGGTGTGTGTGTGGTTGGGGGTGGGAAGGACCGAGGGAGGGAGAGAAGGGGGGGGGAAAGCGGGAGGGGTGGAGAAAGATCAGGTGAGGTATTGTGAGGTGCCTGTAATCTCATAAGGTGGCGCACCGTTAAGCAGGTCTATATTTAAGGCGCCTCATATATAGACACCTGTAATCTCATCAGGTGAGGTACCGTTAGCAGGTGAACATGGAAGAAAGGAAGTGAGGAGAGAGGAGACGAAAAGAGGGGACAAACGGGAGGGGGTGCTGATAAAACGAGAGCAGAGAAGGCGAATGCTGGGCTAACCAACCTCCCATCCGCCCACCCATCCACCCATCCATCCACCCACTCACCCATCCATCCATCCATCCACCCACCCACCCACCCAACCACCCACCCACCCATCCATCCACCCACCCACCCACCCACCCACCCACCCACCCACCCACCCACCCACCCACCCACCCACCCACCCACCCACCCACCCACCACCCACCCACCCATCCACCCACCCACCCATCCACCCACCCACCCACCCATCCACCCACCCACCCATCCATCCACCCACCCACCCACCCATCCACCCACCCACCCATCCATCCACCCACCCACCCACCCACCCACCCACCCACCCACCCATCCATCCACCCACCCACCCACCCACCCACCCACCCACCCACCTACCCACCCATCCACCCACCCATCCACCCACCCACCCACCCACCCACCCACTACATACAGCTGCCAATCTCTGCCAGCCGCACAGCCATCTCCTTGGCATAGGCGCGCAGGGGACGCGCGTAGGGCAGCCGCGGACAGCTGCAGGGGGAGAAACGGGGAAAGGGCGAGGGGCGGAGCAGGGGGAGAAACGGGGGAAGGGCGAGGGGCGGAGCAGGGGGGGAGGGAGAAGGGGGGATGAGTATGTGGGGTGGAGCGAAAAAAAGGGGGGGCGGGCGTGGGGTTAGAGCCAGGTGTAGGATTGGAGCCAAAGGATGGAACGGACTAGGGGCGGAATAGGCTGAGGTGACATTTGAGTCGACCAAAACAGAGGAGGGTTAGACGGATGGGGGTGGGGGGGTCGATGTGGGGTGGGGGGGGGGGGGGTCGGTGTGGGGTGGGTCAAGAAGCAACGTGAAAGTCATGATCAATTGCACTCTCCATTCACAGAATCACCACATTGAACCAGCTCGCACCCCTGCACTGCCACTTATCACCGCACTGAGCCGGCACTCACCGTGCGTCCACGCCGTGCACGTGTGTCTGGGTCTCCTCAGAGGTGAGGTGGAGCAGCGGCTCGAACGCCACCACTGCAGGGGACGCGGCGGACATCACGGGCAGGTTCGGAAATGCACGGCCAGACAGGGGAAGTTGGGGAGGTTGGGGAATTGGGGGAAGGGGGAATGAAGTAAGTGGGAGAGGCGAGGTGGAGCAGCGGCTCGAACGCCACCATTGCAGGGGAGAGCAACGCCAAGCAGGGGAAAGCACGGACAGACAGGGGACAGCACGGACAGACAGGGGACAGCACGGACAGACAGGGGACAGCACGGACAGACAGGGGAAAGCACGGACAGACAGGGGACAGCACGGACAGACAGGGGACAGCACGGACAGACAGGGGACAGCACGGACAGACAGGGGACAGCACGGACAGACAGGGGACAGCACGGACAGACAGGGGACAGCACGGACAGACAGGGGACAGCACGGACAGACAGGGGACAGCACGGACAGACAGGGGACAGCACGGACAGACAGGGGACAGCACGGACAGACAGGGGACAGCACGGACAGACAGGGGACAGCACGGACAGACAGGGGACAGCACGGACAGACAGGGGACAGCACGGACAGACAGGGGACAGCACGGACAGACAGGGGACAGCACGGACAGACAGGGGACAGCACGGACAGACAGGGGACAGCACGGACAGACAGGGGACAGCACGGACAGACAGGGGACAGCACGGACAGACAGGGGACAGCACGGACAGACAGGGGACAGCACGGACAGACAGGGGACAGCACGTCCAGGCATCAGCAACTCACCACTGAAATTGACCTTCTTTATGTTCCGAAACACCTGCTCGAAGAATTTATGCCCCGAACCCTCAATCCCCGCGAAGAAAACCACCAGCGGAAGCTCATCCCCCGCTCCGCCAGCTCCGCCTCCGCCCCCGCTTGTCCCATTCTTCCCGTCCGCGGATCCCCCCGCGGTCTCCCCCAGGCCCCGGCCTTCCCCGTCCGCGGGCTTGTCTTGCGCGTAAAAGTGCTTCGCGCTATGCGCGACCGCCTTCAGGTCGATCCTGGGCCGGCACACTGGTGGGCGCATGGGACAACGTTCATGAAACCGCTTTTTAAGCTGCTCCAATAAGGTTGCTTGACCGGCAGCTCCGAGGCCGCTGCCTGCACCTAGACCTGAAATGTCGCTGTGTTGTAGCGACCCCTCGTGCGACATTGCGACGTCTTGGATGTAGAGAACCGACGCTGCGACAGCCCAGACGATGAAGATCTGTGCGACGGCGAATCGCACGATGGGTCGTCGCCAGAGCTGCTGGATCGGACGAAAGAGATTGGACGGCCGAGATTTCGTGAGGGACGGGCTCGCGTCATCGGAGCCGTCGTCAGCATCTAGGATTGCATCAAAGGGGTCTATTCCGTCGTCGTGAGTGGCTGACCGACGGAGAGCGGATCCAGGAGAGTGGGTCTCCTTACCCTCCATGCTGCACTTTAAGTTCCGCGTCAATCACTGGCTGACGACGAGAGTCGACGATAGAGCAGCAATTCAGGCGGACTATCCAAGAGCACGGAGCCTTGAAGTTGAATGCACAGGCGTTCTTCTCGCAGTCGTATCGTTCAAATCAAATGCGGAAACCACGCCGATGTTAACTCACGCAATAAATCTCGTAACAAAACGGTTATCAGCGGGATATGGCTATGGCAGGCTATGGTCTGCTAGACAAGCCTACCCAACTGCCATGAATTTCCCGATGCCCATAGCAGAGAAACGAAACTACAGTATGCAGAAAACCGGAATTTCCCAGCAACCATGGATTTTCCAATGCCCACCCATTATAGTTTCCGCCGCAGCGAGGTGGTGTCTAGGGAGGGGAGCAGGAAATCTACCGTGAGATGCAGGACAATATCAATGTCCTCGATTCTGATGAGTTCGTTACACATCCGATAAGGTATTTTGTGAAATATATCGTTACATTATATTCTTTTGAAAGTTCAATTTGCTGAGAATGAAAGGTAACCAGGTTCTGTCGTCGCAATTATTGGATCTGTCACCACCACCGCAACAGGCGGACAAGGAAGAAAATTATTGGGCCTCGGCCTTACTTGTCGCATTCGCTGTGCGCTGCAAATCCAGCTGCGAAAGTCCAACTCAATCGCCAACCGCGCGGTGCGATTGTAGATCCGAATCGCATGTTCAAATGTCGAGCGCCCACAATAATTGTTGCAGCCCAAGACTTATGAACCACGCAAACAGGCAATCCGTTTCTGGCCACACCGCGCCACATCCTCCCCCATACAGTATCTCGTATCTTCTGAAGTCCTCAAAATTGCTCCCATGCGTTTCATCACTTCCTCCTCGTACTCTTTCCCACCAGTTACGTATTGTGCTGATTATCATTCTTGGTGTCCGTTCCTCGTTTCGCTTTTGCTAATTCCCAGCCTGCCCCATTGACTTACTCATCCACATCAATTGCGCATTCGAGGAACGAAATGTTTCAATAAGGTCGTCAGCAACAGTCGCTAGAACGAAACGGCATCCAGCAATTGCATAAGACGACGGTAGTTACACAACCAAGCATCTCAGAAACTACTCGTCGCGGCAAGGGTACGGACGGAGATAACACCGCGATTCGCTGATACGGGATGGCGCTCTTGCGGCGAATGGAGCATTGGAAGCTGTCGTCGTCAGAACATTCAAAACTATCGGCGCCGCTGTCGTGCGACGTCGTCGTGGCCGTCGCACTCATCGCACTCGTGAATGCAGGCGTCGCCACAGCCGGTACGCACAAATAAACGCGTCTGGAAACTATATGACAGGCCGAATTCCGAGCACGGGAACAAAGCTTTCAAGTTGACAACTGGATTCTTGTTCAACAGAAGTAACCACACCAGCAAAAATCATTTTAATCTCAGTCTAAATACTGTATTTCCAAAGCGCCTTATAAACCGAACTCATTTTCAATCGGACGTCGTTTGACAAGTTTCAGCGCCCCGAAAAAAATGCTAATTAATACTGCAACCCCAACTCCCCTTGCTCGTATGGCAGGTCGGCCGCAGCCTCGGATTCTTCTCTCCAGCACAGGCAGTAAGTATGCTCTTCTGAGTCGACTCAAAAATAACGTGTGACATTATACCGAGCTGACTTTTGAGTCGACTCAAAAGTCGGCCGTAGCCTCGGATTCTTCTCTCCAGCACAGGCAGTAAGAATGCTCTTTTCTACACTCCTTGCAAGTTTGTAAGCTTCGAAACTCGGCTTTTTGCATCACAGCTTCTGAGTTCGCTCTCTTTCCAACGGGCACTGACTGACAGTCGGCGTTCTCTCCTTTCGTAGCCACATCTATCTCAATCCTTCCTCTTTCTTTACCTTTCGTTGTATTCTTTCCCATTTCTTTCCCTGACTTTTCTTCTTCCCCGTTTCCCCCTCCTAACTTCCTGTGTCCTTCCTTTCCGTCACCTCCGTGCGATGTCTGCACCTCCAGCTGCAACGATTATCATCTCGGTTCTAGTGGCGCTGCTGCTCGTCGTGCTCTTCGCGCTCGGCATCAAGATGCTGCTCGACCGATCGAGTAAGATTCTTAGGTTCAAAGATGCTGGGCGCAGAGATGACTTTTGAGACGACTCAAGGATCATGTCGATTCTCCTCGTTGCGCTCTTCGCGCTCGGCATCAAGATGCTGCTCGACCGAACCAGTGAGATTATGTTTTTTCGTTTTTTTCCGGAGAGCTCAGGGCCGGTTTCGAAGCGCCTCAAAACTGCGCTCGGCATCAATATGCTGCTTCATATGCTGCTTGATAGAACCAGTAAGATGCATTTTCTCCAAGTGCTTCACGGTCACGTCGAGTCCCACCTCATTCTGTTCCGCTCGTGCTCCTCCCAACCCAACCCAATCAATCTGTACAGCTTAGATAACGTATTCATGCATCCTCCTCTCCTTTCCAACTCCCCTCCGGTCCTATCCGCTTCTCCTATCAGAAGCAGCCCGCTCAGAAGACACGGTCGCACCCGAAAAGGCCACCACCGTTATCACCACTCCCCGCAGCCTCAGCAGCGCGCGGATGAAGCCCCGGCAAGGCGCAGTCCACGTGGTGGGCGGAACGGACGACGACGAGGATGCGGAGATTCCGCGCGCGCGGGCGGAGAAGTGGTCGCTGGCGGACGTGGCGGAGGCCACGGCGCAGTTCGCGCAGGAGCGCGTGATCGAGGCGGAGGGGCAGAGCGTGGTGCTGCGCGGGATCGCGCGCGACGGGCGGGACGTGGCGGTCAAGCGGTGCAAGCAGCCGCAGCCCGAGACCCAGGCGCTGTTTCTCCGAGAGGTGCGCTGGCTCTGGAGGCGCGTGATTTGGGTGATGGGTGGCGGTCTTGCCGCGGGTGGGGGGTTGCTTCTAAGCGTGCTTCTGCGTGGCGGTCAAGCGGTGCAAGCAGCCGCAGCCCGAGACCCAGGCGCTGTTTCTCCGCGAGGTGCGCTGCTGGTGGAGAATCTGGCCTCCACGGGGAATCTAGCCTTTAGTCCCCTGAATTCTCAGAGGGATGGGCTTCCACGCCTCGCTTCCTTGCGTCCTGGCTCTCTGCCTTCCTGGCTGCACCCTCTTGTCTCTGCTTGCCTTCCCACCCTCCCTATCTCCTCTCTCCTCCCCCCTTCTCCCCGTTCCCGCCCCCATCCCCTTCCCCCCTGCCAGGTGATGCTGATCACGAGTGTGCGCCACCCCAGCCTGCTCCCCCTTGTGGGCAACTGCGACGAGGAAGCAGATACTCATTTTCGAGCACATGCAGCGCGGCTCCTAAACCCTCTTGCGTACATTCCCGCCCTCCCTCCCCTTCCCCCCTGCCAGGTGATGCTGTTCACGAGTCTGCACGTGTATGAAGATTTGTTTTGAGACGTCTCGTTTTGATACGTCTCGTTTTGATACGTCTCAAAACAAACCCTCTTGCGTACATTCCCGCCCTCCCTCCCCTTCCCCCTTGCCAGGTGATGCTCATCACGAGTCTGCGCCACCCCAATCTCCTCCCGCTCGTGGGCTACTGCGACGAGGGCAGCGAGCAGATCCTCATATTCGAGCACATGCAGCACGGCTCGCTCGCTTCCTGGCTGCGCCCGCGTGCAGACGGCAATGGTGAGTGTGGAACAAGAGGCCGCTGGTGACCTGTTAGTTCGGTTGTCCTGTGGAGCCCTCCCTTCCCCAGTTGACTTTTGAGTCGACTCAAAGGTCAACTCCGTATCAGATCATTGCAAGTTGTTGGAAACTAAAAGTTCTATTGTCCTATGAAGCCTTCCCTTCCCCACACCACATGCTCCCTGTCCCCCCTCTCTGTCCTCCCCCCTCTCTGTCCTCCCCTCTCTCCCTCCCACCCCCCCGCCTTCCCCATCTTCCCCACACCCCTCTGAACTACAGTGTCAAGACCGCCACTCACGTTTGAGCAGCGCGTGAGGATCGCTGCTGACGTGGCACGCGCTGTGGAGTTCCTGCACTCGCAGCCCAAGCCAGTGGTGCACCGTGACATCAAGACCCAAACCATCCTGCTGGACGAGAAATTCAATGTGAGTCAATGGAGGTCAACCGAAGTCAACAGACTGATTTAGTCTACTTACATAGAAGTCAGCCGGTGGTGTATCGTGACGTCAAGACCGAAACCATCCTGCTGGACGAAAATTTCAATGTGAGTCAAGCCCCTCTGGTCAACTGAAGTCAACGCAAGTCAATGGTAGTCAATGGCGCAGTGCTGTGAAGTTTCTCGCACTCGCAGCCCAAGCCAATCATGCACCGTGGAAATCCTTGACCGTGACATCAAGGCATCAACCATCCTGTGGGATGGCAACTTCAATGTGAGCATTGACCTCTCTGGTCAATGCAATTCAATGCAAGTCAACTGCAGCCTTGACTTGAACCGCCCGTGCATGCATATGTGGCAATGGATGGCATGCGTGTCTGACAGGCGAAGCTGGGGGGGTTGGGGACGCGCAAGCATCTGCCAGGGGAGTCGAGCCGAGTGCGCGTGCAGCGGAGGAAGGGGTACCTGGATCCCGAATACTGCCAAACCTTCGTCGTCACTACCAAGGCCGAGATCTTTGCGTGAGATTCCATTTGCGTGCTCTCATGTGGGAGTGAGAACATTCTATTCCTGTGGTTTCCGGCTTTTGAGTGATGGTATATTGACACTGTCATTTATTGGGCTGGAACTGTAGTCTTCATCTGGTGTGTGTTTTGAGGTGCGATTTGTCCGTAGGTAATGAGGCCACAACACAGCACACCACCACGGATCGAAACCACCACGACTTTGTGTTATGCAATTTATTGAACTGTTTCCTGCTCCTTACATCCTGCATCATCGGTATTGGATGCACCGTTTCCAATCTTTTGAACTTGTTGCAGAGTTGGAGTTGTCATCCTCGAGCTTATAACGGGTCGACCACCAGTGGTGGAAGAAGAGGTGGTAGCTAAGGAGGGTCGAAACACTGTCAAGATTGTTACACTTGCTCAATGGGTAAGGCACACTTGTGCTTGGTTGCTCTGTTCACTAACCCCCTTGCTTGTCATGCTGCAGGGGGGGAGGGGGAGGGGGGGGAATCTCTTGTTGCTACATTGATCTCTCTCTCTCTCTCTCTCTCTCTCTCTCTCTCTCTCTCTCTCTCTCTCTCTCACTCTCTCTCTCTCTCTCTCTCTCTCTCTCTCTCTCTCTCTCTCTCTCTCTCTCTCTCTCTCTCTCTCTCTCTCTCTCTCTCTTTCTCCATACGTCAAGCCTGCATGCCTTCTTGCCATATATTCCATCCTCCCGACCTGACCCTTATTCGCAGGCAATACCCAAGATCAAGGACGAAAACTACGGGTTGATAGTAGACGAGCGGATGGAAGAGTACCCTACTCACAAGCTGGAGATGCTGACGAGAATTGCTTCAGAGTGTCTGAACCCTCTCCGTAGAAATCGGCCCGACATTGGACCAGTGGTAGCCTGGCTCAGTGATTTGTGCAGCTCCGATGCTGCTGTTATCTCTAACCTGAGCTCCGTGTTTGGATAGTGGTGTGTTGCTAGTGACCGGGGAACATGTAAAGCCAAGATGAATAAAGGGGCGTTGCTATTTTTGCACGCCATTTAGTTTCTTGCTGGAAACCGAGTTTGTGCAACTGCTTGAGCAGATAAAGCTCCATTTTGGAGGAGTGTATTATCTCTTTACTGATTCATTCAGCGCCCTTTTCCAAATTTCAGGTCCAGCTGAACTGCTTCTGTCACACCTCCAATGCTCCCAATTCCCAATTCCTGACTCCAACTTCCAAACCAATCCCTTCCAGCTAGCTGTCATGAGCAGACTTTCTGTTCCGCCACTAAGGGGGTGTGCCATGTGCGTAAGACCTACACTGGGCCGGGCTGGGCCGCTGCGGCCCAGGGGCAATTGAATGGACCAGCGCGGACCAGCATGGACCAGCGAACGGCTCAGGTGTGGACCCGACCTGCACCCGCCCACGGACCAGCATGTACAGTTCAAGGCGCACGTACGAAAAAGATGCTCGACACCCAGGACCATTTCCAGAGCGACCCAAGGGGATGGGAATCGCATGCGAAACTCGCGTTCTGATTTTTCGCCAAAGGTATTTGCTGTTTGCGACATCTTGTTCAAGCGTAACCAGGTACACTTTTGTGTTCGTCAACACTTCGTTTTCAAAGCTGCAATGCACTGTGCATAGCTGGTCCGCCGCAAATGATTCCCGGTACCAAGCGGGACCACTTTTGGAAGTGATCCCTCTAAAATGGTGCCCCCTTGCATTCGCCGGTCCATTTCCTCGTAAATGGACCAGCGCGCAAAGTAACACTCCCTGAATCACGGTCAGGAAGTTGAAGGGACTTCCGAACCTCGGAAGCAAGAGAGCTCGTGGTGGACCTCGGAACTGCCGAGCCAACCCGGCCTGACCAATTTCGAAGACCCCCTCGAGTTTGTCTTGAATCGAGGGACAAGCTGGGCCACGGTCAGCTGCTGCTGCTGCTGGTGTACAGTACATCACACCCAAAAGCACACTCGTCCACTCTGGTCCCCCTCCCCTCGTTGAACTGAAACAGCTGCTGTTCTCTAGGTGCGGAAGGCAACACCGTCCTCCACTACCCAGTTCACTTGTGTTTTGTTCGAAGTCCTCTACACCATAGTTTGTGGCAAATCCTTCTCTGCTGCTTCGCGTGTGTTGCCTGTTTGCGAGTCGTTGTCCGCGCCGCGTGTGAGCAGCCCTAGGCTTTAGAGTGTTTATCTCCTAATCAACTCGAAACTCACCGTTTCAAGCGAGCAGGCTTAGATTCCGGAGTTTTTTTTTCGGAATTACTCGAGAAAATCCAAGCAATTAAGCCTTGATTCAATAATGGCCGGAGACCGTTATGTATACGTGAAATAACTGCAGCTCATGCAAAGGAATCAGGATGGGGGCATGTTTCTCCATACACGAAGAGCCTCTGTCACCGCGGCAAAGTAAAAAGCCTCGCTCTCCCGGTACGTTGGAGACGACGACGTGGCAGTCATTGTATGGCTTTTCCATATTGGACAATTCAGTAACATAGTGGAGTGCTTCAGAGTGAAAAGCGTTGACGGTAGAAGTACGTCCGCGTGTGAGTTTCTGTGTTTTTTTTCTTTCTTCCTTCCTTTCTTTTGTCAAGCAGAAGTTGAGTACGAATGAAGTACGACGTATGACCAAAATCTTAGTCCCCAAGCACTTAAAAATTTGACGAGTGCACTACAGCGTTGATAAACTCACACTTACTCGTCCCTCCTTTTTGCCCCATCCTACCCCTGTATCGATACTCTCCTCTGTATCGATGCGCCAGCCCCAAAAGGCTCCCCTCGTGCTGGTAGGGCGGCACGGAGATCCCGAGGCTCTTCGCTGGGCGGCGGAGAGTCCGAAGCAGCGCACGAATACACTGTAGCTCCCGTGGACGTTATTTTAGGTCTCAAGCCGGCGGGTAGCGCGGGCGTGGGTGCCGACCAAAGGGGTTCCGATGCGGAAGGGCTCGGTAATGGGACAGTGCTAGCTGGTAGCGGGGCAGTTAATAGCGGGGCAGCCAGTGAGCAGCAGAGCGCGGAGCCTGGTGGTGTGCCACGTAATGGCTCCCGATCACCCCGTCTGTCGCCACTTCAGCCACCCGCATTTCAGCTGTCGCCACAACAGCAGCCGCCGCACCACCAGCCGTCGCATCAGCAGTCGCCATATCAGCAGGTGCCGCATCAACAGGCGCCACATCAGCAGCCGTCGCATCAGCAGTCTCCATATCAGCAGGTGTCACATCAGCAGGCACAATATCAGCAGCCGCCACATCAGCCACCACCACATCAGCAGCCTCAATATCAGCAGCCGCCACATCAGCAGCCGCAGCAGGAAGCGGTCCCGCAGCAGGAGTCTAGCCAAGGACCGAGTCCGAGCCTCAGCCATACTTCCAGCGTCGGCCCGAGCCAGACTGCGAGCTTCGGCAGCCAGGGAGGGACGCCTGGGAGCGTCCAGATAGCCGCCACTCTGCTTCAATTCTCTTATAACGAGTTGTTCGAGGCTACTAACGGGTTCAGCAGGGAGGGCAAGCTGGGGGAGGGAGGATTCGGGAGCGTGCACAAGGGGAAAGTGCATGTTGGTGGGGGGAGGATGGAGGAAGTTGCTGTGAAGGCGCTGAACCAGGAGGGTTACCAGGGCGAGGCGGAGTGGGTGGTGAGTGTGCGGTGGAGTGGGATGGGAGTGGGTTTTGAACTGTGAGGTGGGTGTTGGGAATGGCTTTTGACTGTGAAATACTGCATGATTAGAGGATGGAGGAAGTTGTTGGGAAGGCGCTTGCTGATTGGGTACTTGCGCTGAGGGGGATGACGTGATTCTGTATCCTCCTCGCATCCCCTCTTTCCCTCCTCTCTTCGTTCCCTTTCCTCATGTTCCACCCCCTTAGACCGAAGTGAGGTACCTAGGGGCACTGGGGCACCCGAACCTGGTGCAGCTGGTGGGGCACTGCAAGGAGGGGCCCCCTGGTAACCCGTCGCTCTAAAGGCCTCTCCATCCTCCCATCCCCTCTCCCATCCCCGCAGACCGAAGTGAGGTACCTAGGAGCGCTGGGCCATCCAAATCTGGTGCGGCTGGTGGGGCACTGCATGGAGGGGGCCTCTGGTAACCCGATGCTCTAATCTCCTCTCCGTCCTCCCATCCTCTCATCCCATGCCTTCAGACCGAAGTGAGGTACCTAGGAGGACTGGCGGTGCGGCTGGTGGGGTACTGCATGGAGGGGGGTGAAGCTATTCTGTGTGCCTTCCCTCTCCCCTCCCCTCTCCCTTCTGTGCAGACCGAAGTGAGGTACCGTACCTAGGAGCACTGCGGCATCCGAACCTGGTGCGGCTGGTGGGGTACTGCATGGACGGGGAGCACCGGCTGCAATATGGAGGTGAATTGACTGAGTATACGCCTCCTCTCTCCCCTCCCTCCATGTTTTCTCGCAGACCGAAGTGAGGTACCTAGGAGCGTTGGGGCATCTGAACCTGGTGCGGCTGGTGGGGTACTGCATGGAGGGCGAGCACCTGATAGCTTATTGCCCTAACCTCCTCTCCACCGTTTCCCACCCCTCCAGACCGAAGTGAGGTATCAAAGAGCGTTGGGGCATCTGAACCTGGTTCGGCTGGTGGGGTACTGCATGGAGGGCGAGCACCTGATAGCTTATTGCCCTAACCTCCTCTCCACCGTTTCCCACCCCTCCAGACCGAAGTGAGGTATCTAGGAGCGTTGGGGCATCCGAACCTGGTGCGGCTGGTGGGGTACTGCATGGAGGGGGAGCATCGCCTGCTGGCATACGAGCTCATGGAGTATGGCAGCTTGGAAAGATACCTCTTCCGCCGTGAGTCTGATAGCTCATGGAGTATGTGCGTGTATGAGGGGGCAGTATGTGACTGTATGAGGAGGCAGTATGTGACTGTATGAGGAGGCAGTATGTGACTGTATGGGGCACGTGGCAGTATATGATGCGGGGGTGGGTGGGGTACTGCATGGAGGGGGAGCATCGCCTGCTGGCATACGAGCTGAGTTGATGGAGTATGGCAGCCTTGAGAGATACCTCTTCCGCTGTGAGTGGTTCATACAGCA